ACAAGTCGACCAGATGTGTCACCATCACTAGTTTTGTAGCTTCAGATGTTATTAATAGAATTTAAATTCTACCAGCTGCTTTGGTAGGATTTGAACCTGTATCCTCAGATTGTTAGTTTAGTTCGCTATATTAAAAGCCCAGTGACAACATCACTGCACCACAGTCTCCCTCAGATTTGTTTGAAGTTTCTCAGTTTAAATATAAAATTAGAATTTAAAAGGCAAAGTTTTTGGCCCTGAATTTCCAAGTGGATTTAGTCATGTGAGAGAGAGATTGTGGCCTGCTGAAGCATCAATGCAAACTTAATGCTTTTTTGGATTTCTCGTGAACTTCAAAAATGTTCAGAACTTGTTAGCTAACTATTTTAGGGGTTTACTTTCTGTTCTAATTCTACCCACACACCCCCCAACTGTACCCCCATCACAGTAATTGAATTCATCAAGTGTAATTGTGTGTACGCAACATTCATTGCTAATGCCTTTCTCTTGTCCTCATGCCTAATTCTTTGAATCTGTTTAAAAGTGGTTTTGATTTTTCACATTTGTCCTATTTTAAAGGATTCTTCAATGTTTTAGTTTCATTTCATGTGAACTTGAGAACAATTGGAACAATTTGAATACACTGCCAAAAGTAACTGGAAGGGATAGCGCCTTAGCATTGAGCTGAATTTCTACTTGGCAGCCATCCATTCTTACTGTTGACCTGCTTCTGATTTTTCTTGTGCGTGATGGTGGTGATCAACATAGGAAAGTACCATTGAAAGACTCAATATATATCAGTAAATTGGCAAGGTTTCCATATCTTTCTTGCTATAACCCACATTTCTTTGCTTTACTGTGGGCCAAATCTTTGGGTCAGCCTTGCAATTTCCCAACTTTGTACAAAGTGTGACTTTGCCCTCCATTTTATCACAAGGGTTGGATTCACAGTGTATGTGGTGAGCTGTGCACAGAATGTGGATGCGGAGGTGCTGGTTAAAAGGCCTGCATCAATTCTCAAAAACAGCAGCCAAGCTCTCAACATTGTTCAAACACTATCTTCACCTCATTCTTTACCTCCCTCAACCCTTCACCCAACCCATACCATTTAAGCATCTCCATAATTGCTTTGTGCATCCATGTATTCCCCATGCCTACACAGAACCCATGGCACCTCTATGCCCTCCCACCTCCCCAATTAATCTTCCAATGCCGCTCGCCCAGTACTTATATGTAGAAGCAATGGGAATGATCTTGAAAATTGTTGGGGAAAAGAAAAATTAAATCTCTATTCGTCAAAGAAAACCCTGAAGGTAAATATACAATCCTTTGTTTATAAACAAACAAGGGAAGCCAACATTTATTATTGTTTGAGTGTCTATTAAACAACCACAGAGCCACATCAAAGACATGCACTGTTATTACAGCACATAGATTTACTATTGCTTCAAGAATACCTGCTGAGCTGAAGCTTTTCAAACTCAGCCAAACATTCATAATTGAGCAAATTCATTAAAAAAGGGGAAGTATTTTGCTAAAATGTTCAGTTAATGGAGTTTCATGGAGGGCTTCTCTCTGTCCCAGGAAATATTCTTATATTTATATTATCAATTTATAATTGCATGGTGCATAGGTAATAGTGCATGTTACTCGATCATGTGCTCACCAGCAGTGGAAGTACTTGCCACAGAGCTTGACTCTGGCATCATACTTAAAGCCCAGCTGTGTACCAGGCCAAGTGTTGCCAGTCAGAAACTGCTTTTCACAGAGTATGCTCTTCATAGGTAACAAAACAAACAGATTCTGAGAGGGCGTATGTGGAAGGTGACTTGCATGCAAATACAAACTCGCATTGTATTGCACTAGTATTTTACTTATCACCCATCTGATCAACAGTCGTTGATTCTTGTAGGTGAGGTTACAATCTACGTAGTCTACTCAGCCTTAGTATTGTACCATGTAGGAAGGCTGTATAAGGGAGTGCTGCATTATCTTTTAATACCCAGCATAACGTATCTTCTCTTTGTTCACTGTGGGGGAAAGCCTTCAAACATTGAAAATATAACCTTTATTGGGCAAAAGCAAAGAAAAAAAAAGGACTACAGTTGTTTCTGGGAACAAACAGAGACAACAAATTTACAGTTAGTGAATGGCCACTACACCCAAGTCCCATTCACTGGAACCATTTGTCAGTTATGTCTTGTCTGGACTATTGTACCTAACGCTGCAACAATCGATCATGCTGACAGTGATGTTCTTGCAGCTCAATGTCCTGATTTACCTCTTCGAAAAATTTCTGTCATGCTCCCAGCTCTACAGCTTCTATCACATTCCTTCTCACCTGCTTCAGTTGCATAGGGCAAGGCATACTAGGATTATGTCGTACACTCTGTCTGAAGTGTATTGTAAGGCCACCCCAAACCAATCTAAGCATTAGAACCTCATCTTCAGGAGGCTTAGCACCTGCATTACCGTTGCCCTGGTAGAAGAATGGCACCAATGTATCCACATTTGGTCTTCGGCGAGATTTACATCACAGAGTCTTCCGCCATGGTGCCTCTTGTCTCCAACGGTTATCCTGGTAAGGCGTCAGTCCTTTGAAATGCAGTAGGAAGAGGGGAGTTCTCAAGAATAAAGGTCTCATGGCAACTCCCATATTATTTGGCGCAGACATCTAAGAAATTGGACTGATGATGACAGATGACATGGACATCGGTGGATTGGGAGCCTTTTCTGTTTACAGAGTGTGTTGCATTGTGACATGGCACTCTCAACACAATGTGTGTATAGTCTATATCACCTTATACTTGAGGATAACCAGCACTATTCCCTGTAAGCAGCACAACTGCCACTCCAAGGCTCTGCGTGCCTTGGAAGAAATGATATTAAGGACGTTGGACTGTGTGCTTCCTGTCCCTCCTGCATGACCCGAGGGAACCTTCATCAGCATCAACTTCAAGTTGTTCAGCATCCATTGGAGGCTAGTGCGAGTCTTAGACTTGCCAATCTGGACGTTCGCAGCCATTTTCCTTTGGGTATTTGCGATTCAGCTGAAGATGGAAGGCAACACGTTGCCCTTGGCAGAGTGAGTAGCAGGCTTAGGCTGATAATCAAGGCCCCCAGCCTGTCATGATCCTTTCTTTCTTGCATACTGTATTGACTGTATCAGTTTAGAGTTTCCACACATTCCCACACAACCTTTTCATTTAAGTCTTCGTCTTCCCATGGTACACAGAGACCTGGACCTACAGCTTAGCCAGGCCCATAATCATGCTGCACTGTTTGTGGCCCCTTCCATCAAAACCAGGGTAGTTGTGATTCAGTTGTTTATCACCCTCCTGCAGTAACCTATGTACTCCAATGCATTATTGTCTCCCATTTCTGTATGTTGAGGTGCTTCCCTTCACAATCATAGCCTCTCTGTTCCCCAGCATGCTGACTCCAATCTTCATGATTTATTTCCCAAGCTTCTGTACCATAGAAGTGGCCCCGATAACCCTGTTGACTTTCAATGAACAGATCCCAGGACCACTGCACTCCCACCCTGAGTACCTTGAAGGATAACAGCAGCTAATACTTGGTAACACCATTACGTGCATGTTCCCCTTTGAACCACTCAACATTCTGACTTAGAAATATATCACTGTTTCTTCACTGTTGCCTAACAGCGTGTGGGTATATCTACCCACAAAAACTGCAGTGGTTCAAGATGGCAGCTCATTTACCACTTTCTTCGGGGTAGTTAGGTATAGGCAATAAATAGTGGCCTAACCCCCAATGCCTGTTAAAAACATGTTTGTTCTTGAAATATTTAAAAGTAGGCAGAGACTTGTTGATTAGATTGTAATAATATGTATCTTTATATTATGCTTTAAAGATGAATATCAAAAAATTGATTTCTTAACATGATCTCTGTAATGTGAAGCCCTGAAATGCTTCCATGAGTATCTAATAGCTCTAACAACCTTTGTTGTTTTTTGGACTTGCTGTGCAACTTATGTGGCAAACTGTACTGTAGAGTATTTTAATCAATTACAGTGTGAAGTGAAATTTCTAATACTGTTTTTAAGTTCATGTAAATTATTATACTTCTTTTGAAAAGAAAATCATATAACAAAGTAGCTAATCATCTCAAAGCCTGTTGAGATGCAAAGGAGGGTGAGGATGGATCGTGGTCACACTTACAGACAACATCATTTGTGAATTTAATTGGAATGTTTTTGTTGCGAATGGAAGGAGCAGAACTCCTCTTGGAGAGAATAAATAGGGTATTGAGAAAATGGGCATGAATCCTTCAGGAGACATTTAGTTACTTCAGAATGCATTGTGGTCTGGCAGGTTCAAGGAGTGCTGAATGCCTTTTACTGCCACCATATGTAAGCATTTGTAAATTAGTTAAATCACTATCGATGTCCACTCGCTCATCACTTTCAATTCTAATACTTCTACATAGTTTAATCTAAAAAGCAATAATCTACGTGTATTTTGCACTGGCTATGCTGCAGACTATCTTGAAACCTTAAATACTATGATCCATTCTGCTCAAGGTTCATGTCTTCATTTGGACAATGGACAGAGAACCGTAAAGGGACTAACCCCACTGCAGGAGATCTGAATTATAAAGGAAGATCAGAGGAAATCCGAGGTGGGATATTCCATCAAGGGTGGGATTGCTGCTAGAGGTGGGTCATGTGGGACGTCATTTCGCTGGTCCAAGTCCAGACCAGCGTCATTGTGTCCGTGACCTTTCCACTGATATAAAGATTTGGTTAAACTTATATCTAATGTCAACTTTTGCTGTTGTACATTTACCGTAGAAAGTAATGTTAAATTGTTTCAACTTAACCGTAATACTCACCTTTATAAGCAGACTGCTGTTATAGTTTTCACTCGCTTTGACTTTCTGAATGTAATAATCCAATTTGTCATACTTTATTAAAGAAGAAGGCTGCATCTTATTTTTGTCAGGCTGTAAATATTCTGTGCATTTTATAATCTAATGTTTTCCTCTTTCTTTTCAGTCAGGTTTGATAAGAACAGAAGAAGCTGATTACATTTTGACACCTCTACCTCAGCACCTTGCACTTAAACACAATTACACAGCACCTAAAGGGCACCATCCACATGTCCTGTATAAGAGATCTGCAGAGCCAAAAGTGCACATTCAAGATAATGAGGTAACCATAAACCAGAGGTCTGTGGGAATTGGATATTATGATCACAAGTATCGTCACCAACACCGACGTCGTAATGACTACAAACATGGACAGCTTCAAAAGCAGCACTACTGTGGAAGACGCAAGAAATGTATGTAAGGGAAGTATTTTATTTCCTTGATCAAATTTTAGGTCTTTTTATTGCATTGAATAATTGATAAAGTAATAGCAATACAGTAATTTTGTTGAAAAATGTGCAAAATTTCACAAATTGAGAAGTAAATGTTGAAAGTTTGTGGTCATCAGCTGAACTCAAGATCAGTGTCATACAGTCGCTGCTAGAATCAAGTTTAATGTTGGTGATGGGGGTCTTGACACATTATTAGATTGCATTAATTGCTCACTTAATGGTCTCAGTTAGTGAATGGATGGGAAGACTATTCATGAATCTGGCCACCCCGGACTTTATTGGTGAAAAGGCACCAGGTGTCCAATCCCTCTCTGTCCCATACGTTAAATGATCCAGCTTCCAAATCCACAGCCAGGTGGCATTAAATTTCACTCCTAATTTTAAAATAAACAATACTCCAAGCTAACTTCTAAAGTCAACTATTTTTGATTAAAAGCTTTTTTTTTGCTGGTTTGTGCTTAATACTTAATACTTAATACTTATGACTCCAACTGGAGGAGGAGGAGCAAAGCTTTTCTTTTATAAGATGCAAAAAACGCCAGGAGAGTGAAGGCGCAAGCAGTTGATCATTTGGAAGTAGTTAAATGCCAATGATGCTTAAAATTGGAGGCCTGCTTTCTTTTGTTCAGCTTAACAAAGCCAGAAAGTCACTGCAGTGCAGTCCTTGCTACTTTTTCTTTGTTCAAGTGGATGTTGATGGGAAGGATTGCATTTATTGCCCATACCTAGTTGCCCAAGGGTAATTCAACTACACTGTTGTGGGTCTGCGGTCATGTGTTGGCTAGACAATGTAAGGTTATTGATTAATTTCCCTAAAAGAACGATAATCAACAGTTGTTATATGGTCACCATTAGACTAACTTTTTCTCCAAATTTTTATTGAATTCAAATTCAACCATCTGATTTGTGGGATTCAGTTCCATGTCCTCAGAACATTAGTGGGGTTCTGGATTGCTAGAGCAATGGCATTATCACTATGTCAAAGACTCCCACTTAACTTGGTGACTTTTCAATTCTAGTTTCAAAAAGCTTAATAATTTCAGCAAAGAGAAAGCAACAAAGTAATTATTTATTAGCATATTAAAATCTTCAAAAATTGTACTTCAGTAGAATTTGTAAATCAGTGTTCAAATGCAACTGAAAAATTATCAGTTTTATAGAATTAGGATAATACGGATTTTTTTTTTTAAAAATGTGTTGCACAGGCTGGTGTCATAATATAATCAACAGTTTTGGAAAATTAATGAAAAACAGATTGGGTAACTAATTGGGGAGAGAAAATTGACATTAGGTGTGATACCAGAAGTTATTGTGTTTCTCGCTTCTACAATAATGTTGATTTTCTTCGTTCATCAAAATTAATTTGCTACCGTTCTTCCACCTACTACCTGAAGGTATCATGAAGCAAGAAGGTTTAGCTAAAGTTTTTCCACTCCAGATTGAAGATTGTGAGGTAGACAGCCATTATAACTTAGGCCATCATTTTTGCTCCCAGATGAGGAGTGCAGAGACCGGACGTTTCACGTCTTCACAAACCTGACTGAGAGAGATCCTTGGGCAAATGCTTCTGACAGTTTTGACAGTTGATTTTGTCAAATCCATTGACTGTTCCAATGAGCTTGATAGTTAACTAATTTATGCACTTTTAATATATATGTATGCTTATTTTTAACAATTTTAAAGGGCACCTTGGACAATGTCAGGTTCAGCTTCAGTTCCACTTTTTACAAAATTTTGGAAAGAAACAGAGAAGGCAATGACTTTGTAAAATGCTTTTGTTTCGGCATAAACCGTAAACTATGTCAAAACATTTTCCTTTTGTGCGGTGTTGATAAAGAGCAACCAAACAAATTGTTGGTATTGCAAAAAAAGAAGTAAAAGGCCTGGAGTGTCCTTTAAGCTGTTGTCATTCAGCATACTAACTTAGGATAATTACAGTGAAAATCATATTTTTGATACCATTACAAATATTCATTCCCTCAGCCAGCTACTTGGACCTGATTTAGTTTGTGGCAGATGAGTGTCAAAAGTAGCTGGTAGAAGAATGGGAATCGTCAGGGAATCTTCACCATGTGTTACCACTGTTGATAATTTAATTGCTTTCCAAATATGTTTATATGAAGTGAAGGTATTTATGTTTAGTTGTCTGTTGACAAAATAGATAATGTCTCTGGACTCAGGACATTTTAGATTCATGAATAATTGTAGGCACAAGGATGCAGAGATTGGTAGATTGTGCACCCGAATTCTGTGTATCTATCATCACTGGACAATCAACTTCAAGCATTAATTTTCATGTTTGGTGTCACCACAGAAGTGTGTGAGCTGACAACTTGCTAATTCCAGGGGCACATACATGAAGTAGATGCACACTCTTTTCTTGTGCTGATCAGGGATCTAATATTTGTTTCAGAGTTCCCATCCCATATTAGACGAAGCTAAAGTGAATATGCAGTGCGTGTGCTTTATCCACTTATTCCAGGACTTCAACAGCCAAAGGAATGGTCCTGTTGAATCTAAACGAGCTAAGTTTTCCTTATTTGTTTAACTGAATTTGGCACAAAGGGCATGAACCTCCTGGTCCCATTACACTCTGCTTGCTAACCATCTTAATATCCTGCCATTAGCCGTAAGAATGAAGAACTAGATCAGTTAAGACTATTCACTGGAGTTTAAAAAGATAAGAGGGTATCTCAAAGAAACGTACAAAGTTCTAACAGGACTAGGCTGGGTAAACGTAAGAAGAATGTTCCTGATTACTGGGGAATCCAGAACAAGAGATCACATCTAAAGAGTCAGGATAGGCCATTTAGGACAGAGATGAGTAGAAATTTTTTCACCTAGAGACTGGAGAGACTGTGGACTTCTCTGCCACAGAAAGTGGTTGAAACCAAAACATTGAATGTCTTCAAGAAAGAGTTAGATGCAGTTCTAGAAGCTAAAGGGATCAAAGTGTGTGGGGAGAAAGTGGGAACAGGTTGCAGATTTGGATGATCATATTGAATGGCAGAGTAGGCTCTAAAGGCTGATGGCCTACTCCTGTGCCTATTTTCTGTCTATAGCTCCTCTCCTTCCATCTTGGTTATATCTGATTGCAGCTGAAGATCCCTGACTGCAGCTGCTCAGTTAAGTGCAGATGAGAGCCCTGAAAAAGCTGGCATGATGCCTCAACTGACCAGCTATCCGCTGTGAGAATAGGTCCAATTTCCAGCTCAGAGAGTTTGTGCTATTCCATTCCAGATTCCATCCTTTAATGTTACTTTAATGTTGGAATGCTTTATCTCCTGGCTCACAATCACATTTGCTAGAGTTTAAACTAGAACTTTTACATTGATGCCAAGAAGACTGTTGCTCATCAGTATTTTATTCATTTGAAGATTTCACACAAAATACAACTGTAGATTCCCAAAACATTTTTCCTACCTACAGACAATTCCCCCGGGATACTGTTGCTTCCTGACCATTTCATAAGCAGTCATGAAATGTCAGTGTTGCTGGCTAGCCTTAAGAAGATGGTGATGAGCTGCCTTCTTGAACCACTGCAGCAGTTTGTGTTGTTCCAGATGGGTTTAGAAAGTGCTGTCATGGGGAATTTCTGCAAAGCATCTTGTAGATAATACCCACTGCTGTCATTATGTGGTAATGGAGGATGTGTATGTTTGTGGATGTGCCATTCAGGTGGATTGCTTTGTCCTGGATGGTGTTGAGCTTTTTGTGTTGTTGGAGCTGTACCTACCAGGCATGTGGGGAGTATTCCATCATGCTTCTGACTTGTGCATTGTAGATGGTGGACATCATTTGAGTAGTCAGGAGTTGAGTTACTCCCCACAGACTTTCTAGCCTCTGACCTGCTGTTGTGGCCACAGTATTTACTGGTTCAGTTCAGTTTCTGCTCAGTGGTAACTCCCAGATAGTGGGGGGATTCAGTGATGGTAATGCCATTGAATGTCAAAGGGCAATGGTTACATTTTTTTCTTGTTGGTGGTGGTCTGGCACTTGAGTAAGGCGAATATTACTTATTATTTATTATCCGAAACCTGGATATTGTCCAGGTCTTAGACAACA